GCGCCCGCCCACGCCCACGCCCACGCACTCGCATGGCGGGCCCCAGGTAATTCACCTGTTTGTTTACTTACTTACTTATTTATTTAGTTATTTAACCGCTATAAGTTATTTCTATCACAGAGAAGTGAATTGTATGTGTATGTGAGGGTGTTTTGAAATTGTTTGAAATAAGAGGCACTCTTGTATGGACTGCCGCAGATCTGTTTTCTCAGGATCCCCAGTGAATTTGTTGATAGGATATTCGTAGATACTCGTCGATTGACAATAAACGACAGAGTTCGTTCGATTAATGTATGAGAGACTTGTGAATCGTAATTTCTTTACAGGGAGAGCGCTCTCTGTCTTGGGACGCCGTGGAGGGGCCCTCGGCCCCGCCCGACCCGCAGAACGCCATGGTGCTCTTCTTGAACCCCGTGGCGGTGACGCTGATGGGGCTGAGCGCGCGCGCCTCCGGGCTGCTGCTGCTGCGCCGGGGCATCCCCCGCATGGTGGCCCGCCTCGCCCGCGTCGACCAGCGCCTCGACCTGCCGCCTCGACTCCCGCGAGGACTGCGCCGCCGCGCGCTCCTTGTCGCCTCCGTCGGCGCCATCTTCTTCGTCTTCTTCGTCACTTTCTTGGCCGTTCGATTCTCCCAGTCGGGCGCTGTCTCCTTGGTTTTCGTGATGTTGCTCTTCTGGTGCAATATGGGGGCTTTGGTGGCAGACCAATTATTTATCTGTTTGTGTCACAATTTTAGTGAAAGGTTTAAGTTTTTAAATGAATGCCTTGATCAGGGGAGGGTTCTCGATTTGTCGTTCACTTTACGGAACACGCCATTACCGAATATTATCCTCACCAGAAACCAAATAGCTTCGTGTTCCCGTGAACTGGAAAAGGAGCTCCAGGAAGCGCGCCAAAGAGTCGTTCCTTCCCAACCCAATCCGGGTTGGGGCGCGTGGTCACGTGGTTTTCCCGCCCCTTCCAACTCCCCTGCTTGGCGCCTCACGGGGCAGTCGGTAGCCGGCCTCCGGCAGTGCCACCTGGAGCTGTGCGACCTCTCCGACGAGCTGTGCCATCTGTTTCGGTTCCACTTGCTGACCTCGCTGAGCGGCAGCTTCGCCAACGTGCTGCTCAACCTGTACCTGGCCCTCTACGGGGTGTCCCTGCAGGAGCCCGTGCACGCGCCGGCCCCCGACCCGCTGCAGGCCGCCGGCTCCGTGCTCACGGGCGTGTGCTACGCCGTGCGCTTCGTCGCGGTCGTGCTCACGGCCGACGCGCTGCTCACGGAGGTATGTAAAACCCACATCTCTGTCCTCTGATTTGTGGCCGAGATGGCAGAGCCCCTCGGTCGGAAGTGTTACGGGTTTTAGTCCCGCTGTGGGCATGGTTGTTCGTCCATTGTCTTTCATGGATGTGTGTTGCCGCGGAAGGCCTTGAGAGTCTGTTGACTACCGACCGAGGAGCCCTCGAGTGTGCCTAGTGTAAAGGTTAATCTGTGTCCCAGTGAGGGATGTAGTAGGTACCCGGCGCGAATATCCCAAATCATCCTCCCTGGAAGCTGGCAAAAGTCTCCAGGGAAAAAAATCTCCGATTTAAATAGTGACATCTGAATCTGGAACGCGATTATCCATTGAAGAGCTTCAACACTAAATATTGGAGAACGGATGTTCCCGATTAAATAACCTCTTCCAGATGATAAGTCCGAAATAACTCTAATTAAATCAAAATATATCGAGGTATTTACAATCCATATATTTATTCAAATAGTGACTCCTATCTTACGATCCAACCGGAAGTTTCAAAACCAAAAATTGTTAAATCGTAACAAAGTTCCCGATTGCATCCACGAACAGCAAATCAAAAGTCAGAAGACTATTTAAATCGACATCTATCGAGTAAATTCTACGATTTATATAGAGTGACTTGCGATCTACGATCATCTTGGATGCGTTTACCCAAACAGCTTTAATACCAAAAATTAAAACGTAAGAAGCTAATTGAATAAGGGATCGCCCATAAATTACGTAGTGCTGAAGAGGGGGGAGGGAGTCTGAGGTAGCGTTACGCTACGTTACATAGGGGTAGGCGGGAATTAGGTAAGTGATACGTAACATTGATATTATTTTTTTTACATTTTTCAACATTTGCTGAAATAATTCTTTTTTGAGTTCTGTACTAAAACATTAAAATATCCATTAATTCATTTGTTTTGAAACCATTAATGAAGTAAAGTTATTAGTTGAAAATTGTTTCAATAAATGAAATAAACGTATACTTCCTTCACTCACAACTTGCCTGAATCTTATTGTTAAGTGCAATCAGATCGCCGATTAGTTTCTACTTTATCATTAATTTTAATATTCAACTCAAGTAAAATAAACACAAACAGTTTTTACTGTATGCTGTAATTTATTTTCACTTCTTGCGAGGGGAGGATGTCGCAAGCGTTAAATGATTTATTAGGGGGGTTCAAGTGCGCTTTCCGGGTGCGTCGCGAGGGGGAGGGGGGAGTTGAAATCCCCAAACGTATCGCGTGGCCTTCGACGCCGCGAAATCTGAGAATGAACGCGAAGTACGAGGGCATTGTTTCGTGGTTCGAATGTGCGTTGATACTTCTGTAGCGCGCATTACCAGCAAATTGCATTAGGATTGTTTTCAAGCAGTTTTAGAAACTAGTTCTCAATTACATCCTCTATTGAAAGTCAATTTCTTAAATAAACGGTTTTGAATTCGTTGTCTGTTTGTTCTATTTTCTTAACAAACTCTTCAACAAAAACCATTTTGGCATAAAATTCTATACCAAACACAATGAAGAATGACAAGCATATCTTGAACCCACTCAAGAATGTTTTAGGAAAATCACATATTACATTCTTAGTAAAGCGTCAATTACGCCTTAAACCTGTTGGATTATATATGAAGCCATTGCATCGTGTCGTCGTTTCTTGCACACGAGGCATGATAAAGAACAGAAGACTTTATTTTTACATATAAATATTATAAGCATTTACATTAACACCTTTTTTACCTCTATTATTTACAAAATCACATACTTAAGGTTATCGTCGATGGAAATCGTGCTGAAAGCCATCTCTAAAATTGTTTTAAAGAAGGTTTGAAAACATTGAGACTAAACATTAAGAAATTACAAAATATGAAATTGGTGAATGCGCATTGGAAACCTGTAAAACATTTCCTTAACCATATTATTTAGCAATACTGTACCTATTACTGTGCAATATATATCATTAAAATAAATCCTTCCCACCGTTCTCAAAGTATTTTACTAATAAAACGTGAAAGCTATTTTAGTCTTCAACATTTTTAAATAACAAATGCTCTTTGAAATTCCAAAAATGTACTACGTATAGTTTACGGCTTACCAATAGAATCTTTTTAAAATAAAAGTTTCAAATATCTGTGAGAGTTTTCACCTTTCTTCCGCACTAGCAACTCCAAGGAAACGCATGATCTTCTTTTCAATGCTTTATCTTGTTCTGAGCTTATACAAAATTTGTCACAACCATCACGTTAGAAAAGTATTCTAGCACGAACCTAAATTCACCGTCCCTTCGTATTTCACATTATTAGCTTGATCCACACATAGCATTTCGAATCGGAATGTGATTGGCGCAACATTTTCTATTTTCACGAGTTGATAAAACCGCTTTAGACCAGCATTTTGGAACAACATTCCTCCAATTCCTCCCACCGCACCGCACAAACTAAACTGACGCACAAATAAAAAAAATCACGCAGAGTGGTTAGGCAGCAACGAAGAGCACGTTATTTTCATCAGCGGCGCGTGACATGCTAGTTTTTCAGTGTACCGTTCCCCGCTTCCACTCAAATTGCGCCAAAGCGCTGCACTTCGCCCCCGGGCGTTATTAATTTATGAACGCGCATTGATGGATTTGCATGCTTCCCGTTCGCAGAGGCTGAAAGCGGGCCGACTGGCGGTGCGCAATGTTACGCGACGTCTTGCCGCCGACGCCAAAGAGGAGGTAATGCGCTTCAGAGAAGGTCCATTGATTATTTTGCGTTTCCGGACGCGTCGACTGCTGTGGTCATTAGTCCCATAAGTGAAGTGTGTGTTATTTCACGGGAGGTGGCAGGGTTCTTTTCCTGACACCGACCTACACGCAGGATTGCGCAGGTCTTTACTGGGTCAAGCTCTGAGCTCTCGACTGCCCTCTATTGTGTGTGGAGGTGTGGCGCATGTAAGTAAAAGCGAGCGTAAGTAAGAAAGCGCGGTCCGTGGTCCATTTGTCAGGGTTTCTGCTGCGGTATTTGCCTGGTATTGATAGGAGAAAACTACCGATCAGAGCAATCGATCGCTAGAATTGTCCTCCAGACAGCGCAGCGGCTGAATTCGACCTAGAGTCTAAATTCCTACTGCCACCAGGTCTCCAACGTAGGACTTTTCAGTTAGAACCGATGTGGCGTCGGTTGATGCCCTGAGCCACTTTCGCCCGTTTGAAAGAAAGTGAAAGGAAAATGGTGGTGGAAGGCATTTGGAAAATGGCAGGTTGGGGAAAGATTATAGTTGAAACTTTATATTCTTGCTGTCATGATAAATGTGTCAAGAGAAGAAAAATTAGTAACTCGTGTTTATAACACATTCCAAAAAAGTACTTACAAATTCGCAAGAATGTAAGAAAATGTTATTCTTGCATACTTATGAAACGTATGAGGTACATTAAGTGACTTTAATACAGAAAGGCAAGTTGGAAATCGAGCCCTGTTCAATACATTCGAGTGTTTTTGTGAAAATTTTTAAATTAGTGTACCTTACGTAAGTTCTTCTACATTTCCTTCTTAAATTTATTTACTGAAGATGGCTTTATAACTACGATATTTAGTGACCTTAGTTTCACCTGCAAACATTTAATATTTTGACATTTTCTCAACAAAGATTGATTTAAAATACTATATTACCCTTACATAAAGAAAATGAATTTGAATCTAATTTACCATTAAATTATTTTTTTAGGTAGGGAATCTCTTAACATGTGAATAATGTAGGTATACTCGTATTCTGATAGTGAATTGAACACTGTAGGTTAATTTCAAGTTTTATTTCCGAAGTTCATTAGTTCCTGGACATTCCTTGATCTGGGATTTAGAAATAGAGTAACTATAAATTGGTAATGAATTAGGGTCTTATTTTTTTGGTTTTGTCGCTGAGACTGAAGGTAAAGTAGCCACTGTAGTCTTGTAAACATGACTTGCCTTCTATTAATATTTTCGTTTGATAGAGACTTTCTCAGTCTATTTCTTCTTGCCAAGGATAATTTTGAAGAAGAATTTTTCCATTTGTGGTCCCAAAAGTTTCTTAGAGAAAAATTTCTTTGTTTTAGAATATAATTTATTCAATATATGGGAGTGTAAATGCTGTTTTAGCTGCGGAATCAGCCTCTTCATTTCCTGAGATTTGTTAATGAGATGTACACCCCCTTTATTTACAACTCTCACAGCCTATTTCGTTTTTATTCCCCCTTTCAAAAATCAAGGATTAATAAAAAATACTCATGCAACACCGAAATATTTTCTAAACAACTTAAAATAACAAACTCAAAATAAATAATTACGTTCTCACGGTACTCATTAATTTTTTGAAATAATGTTTTTGTTGTATCGTTTAATTTCAATTTTCTTAAATGTTCTTATAGTTATTGCCCCTAACCATACAAATATTTTAAAGTGCATGACTTTGTTTTCAATGGTTATTAGGTGATGTAAAACGATTGAATTTTGGGTGCCAATTTACAATAGCTATTGGGTACGAAATATTAAAAAAATAATTTTGGAGAAAAGAGTTCAAAGTCCTCCTATTCGATATCACCTAACACCGAAAAAATATGTTTAAAACATAAAAAATGAATTTCACTACATATATAAAACTCTCAATTATTCCTAGAATCCAGGAAACATAATGCAAACAAAACAATTTTCAATATTTCATAAAAAACAAAATATTTAAAATATTTAAAAAATATTGGTGAAGCCAATTAACAAGGAAAATGGTTTCATGAATGCAATGTCAAATATTCAAAAAATAAAAACTCATCAAGCAATCCTCAAGACCCAAGTACCAACATTTAGAGAAAACATCACGATATTTAAATTATGTAAAAATTTTAATTTTGATCATCGAATTTGTCTTTATATTGAAAAAAAGAAAGTCACGAGTAGATGTGTCAAATAAATCGTTTGAATGTGATTTTTACAGCTTTTAATTCATACGCCCGAGAAGTATTTAAAATAATTAACAGCTAACTTGTGAGATGCACGCACAAAAAGTTCTTTTGACAATTGAAAAAATATATACAGTGTATTTGAATATTCAAATAAAATTGAAATGATATATTTTTAGTGTTAAAGGCTTGTAATAATTACTTATTTTTACTTTTTTAGACGTAAGCGTAGCATAAAATCCAATTTTTCGGGTAGTGGAGTGTTATCATAAGTCTTCAACAGCTGTACATAAAAAAATGTGATAAACCCTTTTCAGTTCTCGTTTATTTTTTTATATTGCCAGTTTCTGTCACGTGACAGGTCGCCCAGAATTTTGCTACATAAAACAGCAATACACATCAGAAGATATTTTTATAATTGCATGAGCGACGTTTTAAATATGTCCGTTATCGATGGATCCCGACCGGTTTTGCAACCCTTCACTCTTTCCGCATGAAAAGGCCATCCCACAAAGTCCGTTTGCATGTATCTGACGCACGCGTCGCGCACAGACAAGTTTTTTTTATTTTGTAACGTTTGCAACACTGATTTGCGAGAGCTCTTCTAAAACGGCACCCAATATGAATATTCACGTGCGTTTACTAGCACTAAAGTGTATTGCCGCAGTTTATGTTTTAGCCATATGTCAGCATCAGAGCTGAACATATTAAATTTTTATCTTTTATGCTGTTTTCATCTTGTTGTAGCTTCGTAATTATTGTCATCATCTGAATTTCTATTCTTTCGACGTCATTTAGAGATGTAAATATTGCTGACTGAGTATTCATTAACGTTTTTTGAAACTCATTGGCGTTTCTTTATAAGAAGTGTTTGTGAATTGACTTATTGTTGAAATCATGTTCAATAAGCTTGCCTATAGTATTTAAATCAAATGAACGTCTTTAAAGAGTTTTAATATCAATTTAAGAATTAAATTTTCACTACTGACGTTTTCATTACGTACGACTAATAGCCCAAAAGTGTCTCTAGTCGTAAACGGCAGAGAGAAAAACTTTAATAGTGGTAAAAATCTACCACAGACATCAATGTCTGAATATTTTATCTCTTGTAGATTTAATATTTTAAATGTATATTTTACGCATTCACACATATACCTTACTTAAGAACAAATGCTAGTGCAACACTGGTTTATGGAGATAAAATCGTCACTCTTGTATATTCCGTTATAATGATTTCGAGAACAGAAAGCTGAGTACATTGAATTAATGTTTTTCAAACTACTAAGAGAAAATACATGGGTTATGTCATGCTTATTATACGCTTTAAAGATCGCCAAATAAAAAACCCTGACAAGAGTTTTAATTAATCCGACTGATTTTCATTTTCCTTACAAGCAGTCCAAAACCATGTTTTAGTGAAAAATGCACTTTCTCTTATCAGGACTGATAACTTCAATCACGTTAACCGTATCTTACTTTTCCTCTTTGCATGTGAATCGTTTAAGGAATTTATTTTGTATTTAGTACTTTTTTGAATTTTCTTGGAGTTTTTTTTATAATATTGATTTGAAACAACCAACACATTAGAATCTTCATTTTTCGGTTATGCTACGAGAATACATATGGAAGGACAATAACAAAATTTTGCTTATCGGAACTTGTGAGCCAAACCTTAGAATTTCAATTTGACTACCGTATATTTCTGCAGAAAAGATGAACTTCAGAAAAGACGAGATATACAGCTTCATCAAAGTTTTACAGTTTCGGTATATATCTATCCTACATGACGACCCCCGAACTGTCAATGGCGTATGAATTTAGTTTAGATAAAATCCTTCAATGAGTCCAGGATTTCGAATGCTATGGATGGCACAGAGGCCAATTTGTTATGGGATACTGATGATGAGAAAATCGACTGGCTAAACGCAGAAAGGCACCGATGACGACATACGACGAACTTCTCAGATGAAAAATGTGAGAATTAACTTTTTTGTATCTGTTTTATAAGTCGACCACGTATTTTGAAGTCATCTACCGTCCTATCCGACTAAATAAATGATATTTATAACTCATTGATCAAAGCTTTAGTCCCTGTGATTGGGAAGCGAATCTTAGCCTTCTTGCTCACGCCCAAGTGCCCTCAGCGAAGCAACTACGCTAATGTTACGAACAGTTTCTTGCTGCATTTGCAGTTTCTTGATACTCAATTAAACAACCCAATTATTATTCAAGACATTTACTGTGCAGTGAACAATCTCATTGAGGAGACATTTACTGTATGAAACACATTTCTGTCGAAATTGTATATCCAACAAGGTTACAATTAACTCCTAACAACATTGAAGTACTTTAAGCAGAAGACACTTTGTAGCCTTGCATGTACGTCGGGACAACATTCTCTTATGGATTATCAATAAAAAGAGAGTGAATTGTACTTTCATTAAAGAATGATAGTTGATAAAGAAAAAAATGAACTGGGCAACGATTTATATAAGAATTAACTCAGTCTGCCTGTGATGAAAATGCGAAGAAGGCGCGGTCACTTGGCCCCTATCGCAGTGGTGGAAGCACGACGAAAATAAAATTCATGCGTGGATGCTATAAAATCCCCTTTTTTACTGAAAATACTTTGTATCTTCTGAACTGGGATAAAAGTAATGTATTTCTTGAGTAATGGGAGTAGGAACTAGTTGAAAAAAGTAGCTTTTTGATGATAAAAGTTGATAAAACTTTGTTTTAATTTGTAACTTTTTCGGCCCGGTTAGACCGTTTTTGTAAGAATAAAAAGGTTTAAATAAGTAACCAAATTTCCCAGGTAGGCCAAAGACTTGACGAAAAATAATAAGATTTTGTAATCTTTCATAATGTCTCAATTTGGATAACCAAACCGGGAGAGGTGGGTCGGGACATCAACTGATATCACTGCAGTGCCTCTTGGTTCGAGTCTCAAGGCAGAATTCTAGAGACAAGGTGGATAGTTCGAATTGAGTCGCTGTCTGGAGAAGAATTCTAGCGGCCGGCTGCTCTGATCGGTAGTTTTCCTTGTTTTCTCCGATCAGCACTAGGTGAATGCCGTAGCAGTACCCGAACAAGCGTGCGACAACAATCTTTCCTTCCTTTTCCTTGCCATATCCTCACCCCCCCTTACTTTCACATGCCTACACTCACATGCATTACACTACCACACATGCTGAGAGAACGGTCGAGAGCTTAGAACTTGTGCCGGCTGGGGAGGTGGCCTGCTGGTGGGAGATACCTGATAATGGAAAACCTCGTTAGTCCACAGTAGATTGGCGCCGGATCTCACTAACGAGCGGGGGACTTGCACTTCACTTACGGGAATAGTGACCTTAGCAGTTGACGCGTCCGGAATCTCTAATCGATCGATGAATAAGCAACGCGTTTGAGAAGCCCAATTCGGTACTTCCTGATGGAGTTTACTGTTTGGTATCTGTGGGAGCTGGCCACGGGTTCGCGAGCCCTCCGCGTCTGAAGCTTCGTGTGTGGCGTTGCAGTTGGCGCTGCTGAGCGCGCACGTCGCCGCCCAAACGGATGCCTTCTCCGTGCTGGGCTTCTTTTCCCTGCGCGCGAGCCTAGTGTCTTCGGTGAGTGGACCATCTAACACCGTTTTTCCTTATTGTTCTTTCTTCTTTCTTTCTTTCTTTTTTCTTCTTTCTTTCTTTTTTCTTCTTTCTTTCTTTCTTTCTTTTTTCTTCTTTCTTTCTTTTTCTTCTTTCTTCTTTCTTCTTTCTCCTTATTTCTTTCTTCTTTCTTCTTTCTCCTTATTTCTTTCTTTTGATTTCTTCTTTTTCTTCTTCTTTCTTTGTCTCGACATCATTCAGTTTTGCCTTGGCCAAACGCCGACACTAGATGGTGATATTTTCTTGATCTGGAGGTGGTGGCCATTTGGTGATTTAAGTTCATCGCTCTGTTCCGTGGCACCATCCTATGGATCCAGCCCCTTCCACTCCCTCAATATAATTTGAGAGGGGAAGAGCCCCACTTAAAGCTGGACGATGACAACAAAAACGACAATAATGATAATAATAATAATTATAATGAAGTAAAAGATAAAAATGGCAAATGAAACATTTGGAAAATTGATGGGTATATTGATGAAAAATCAGGTAGTTATGTCCAAAAGCTACCACGACAAAAAATCTGAGATCTTGTTGAATTTTACAAACATTGAAAATACAGTCCAAAGGCTTGTTTCATTTCTGCTGCAGAAAGATCGTGTGAGCCACCAAAAATGAAGTACGTTCAGTAAACGAGAGCTCGACGTCCTTAGCGAGTTTGAGTACCTAGAGCTATGAAATCTAAAATGAATAATTTTTTAGTTAAAAGGAAAAAACTCTCAATTATAAGTGGAGAAGGACACGTCAAGATTATCAAGAGCCGAAAAAAACCACTGCTTTTCATACCAACCCCTTATAAATAAAATAACATTAGGACCTGATACACAGCCTCCTCTCGTATTGTCTTTGTATTGGCGCTTCTGCTCGGTCCTAAAATGATGGATGAGGTCTGGACAGGAAAGGAAGGATCGCGCACTGTTTGGGATCCGTAATCTAAATCTCTGCTCCAACGTTCGCTTGGAGGCTATTAGAGAAAAACCTGAAAATTACTAATCAGATCTATCAATATAACATATTATGTGTCCAAAACATGAATTTTTCTGTAATTTTACATGATGCATTCAATTTGTGAACAATTTTTTCTAAAACCGCTTCAAATTTTTCCTTTGATGTTTTCTTTGAAAACAGCAAAGTAACGTTAAAAAAGTCAATACCTATTTTTGCTTAACTGTAAGTATTTTGAATATTGCTCAAAATTAACATTGCGAAATTGCATATTGACAATAGAACTATTTTTTTAATTAAATGAATTCGAAAAAAAATAAATTTTAAACATGGTCACCAACAGTTTCTGGAAAAAAGCGAATAGTTGTGGTGTCATTTTCGAAAATAAAGGCAATTTATAAAGCCATAAAAAAAACACAATTGATAAAAAATGCCACTAATTTTTTAAATTTCTTTTCTTCGGATAGAGAAAAATTCGCCGCCGGTTTCACGTTTGCGAAAATCTCTAATTTTTTAAAATTCGCAAAAGTTTCAAACGATGCGAGAAAATATATACAGTTTAACACTTGTTTAAGTACGTTACAAAAGTAAGAAATGAAAAGTAGTTGTTAAAAAAAAGACTACTGATATTCAAAAGAAATTTACCTAAAAATATTGTCTTCATCAGTATCACCTTAATTAATATGTGTTTGTAGATAAACGAAAACAAAACTCTGATCAGTTTTATATTTGAGCTAAATAAACAAACATGTTTCTATAAGACTTAAAATTTAATTCTGTTGTGTAATATCTAGTTCATTATATGAGTAAATAGTTTCAGGCTTTCTATTATTACTTGTTCCCCATGTGTCGCCATGATACAAGTTAAAAACTCTTATGACTTAAAAAATGTTCATTGATTCTGAAAATGTCAATCTGTACTCATAAATAAATGTTTTAATTCATTAGTAAACAAATATCTACCAATTTATTACTGTAATTTATAATTAATTATACTAAGATACTTTTTGAACACATTTTTATAAAATTAAAGAACTATTTTACCTGTACACATAGTACCTAAATTCCTCCTGAACCATTTTGGCTGACTTCTCTCCGCTGCACTCCAACTGAAAATGCAGATAGCTAGACAGAGTTGGACAGGGCAACATGCGGTCATTTTGGCCTTTTGCGTCAGCTGACGGTGGTTGGTGGTTAAACCGAGCGCGGCAGCTCCCGACCAGCAGCGAGCAGCGGGCGAGTTCGGTGACGTCATGAGTTAAACTCGACGCGGCTAATTCCGAAAGCTTTTGTGGAAAGGGTGAACGAGGGTGCTAGTGGGATTTTATTTAGGCCCAAAGCTTGCTCTCTGGCAGTTTCCGGCTCTAAAAGCATGGTTCATTTAGATGAGAATGTTTCTCAAATGTTTTGTTGTTCCGTTAAATCTCACTTTTTGTTAAGAAACATCGCATCTCTTCAAACATATTGGTGGTTTTGATAGGATACTTACTTCGAAATGAAGGTCAAAGTTATGAACTAATTACACTAGATCACATAATACAGAGTTAATGCATGCAGTGTAAAGACTCTGGGAGTGTTTATGTGAGAATAACTGACATAAAATACATGGTGACATAAAACATTTAGTTACGTCCTTGTGAATGGATTATTGAAAGGAAAATTAAATTTTATTGAAGGAAAGACAAAGATAAATTGAAGTTATATTTATATTAATTGCAGGTTCACGGAATTAAGTTGCGATGTAATACTTTTCAGTAAAGTAAATTTGCATTTTTATACAAATAAGGTCAACAGAACATTAAGTAGACTGTGGTGGTACGAAATGCCACAACTTATCAATGTGTTACTGTCCTGATAAATTCTGGCATTATTTTCATTCTGTTATTGCTAACAATGCCACATGTATAACTTGATTAAATGTGTAATTCTATTAAACAACGCATGACTATGTAATGCTGATACAAATTATTTCAATTGCGTTACATGAATAATGTGTTTCCAGGCTTTCGCCGCTGGACTTACGTATATGGTGATAATGGTCCAATTTCGAGAAGCTTAAATAGATGAATCACTTGAATTTTTCTATTATTCAAGCACCTTCTGGTAATGCAGAACTGTGCGAGGAATTGAAGACTCTGAAATAACTTTTCGTGCACTATTCGTTATTGAAAGTGAAGACCTTATAATTAAAAAAATAAATATCTGTTTTGAAGAAAAGAACCCATATTCTATGTTGATAAAATTAATGTTTGGGTAGATGTTAACGTGACTTATGTTAACTTAAAATGTTATTGTTAGAGTAAATTATATGATACGAAACATTCGAAGAAAATGCAATACTCATGTAAGTCAAATAAATATTGCAGTGAAAAGTGAACGCAATCGGAATCAGTCCTGTGAAGCAAGAAACATGATGTAGATGTAGTCATCTTTTGCAGTTATATAATTGTTTTTTATACATTACAGCTGACTAACCGTAATTTGTCTCATACCTGACAGCATAAACAATATAAATCAATTGACTTAAGAATTTAAAAAATAAAATTCACTGTATGTAATTTTTATGTACAAAACGAGAAGTGTATCAAAGAAGACAATGAACACACTTTATTAATGTGTCCCTGAGAACAAAAGAATAAACAATGAAAAGCCGTGAGATGACATGGCTAGAGTTACAATGATGTACATTTCTGATGAATTCTTGTAAATTATGGAAATATATAAATTTATGTGTGGCCCTCGAGAGTTTTTTTTTTTTAACTCGTGAAAATTAGTCACCCTCGCCTCCCATCGTTGCCTCGGGGGCCTATCTTTTAACTCGTTGATAAAACTTTATTTTATTCCCTTACTCCTAAAATTACTGTTAATGCATTGGGGGCGATCAAAGTAAATTCAAATAAAAATAGTATTTATTGCAACTATTAACACCTGTAACAAATTGCATGTCTATATGCAGGAATATATCACGAACCACATCCTAACCACTGAAAAATGTAAAAAACGAAAATATATAAAATATTTATGGAAATCGGTATAAAAATAATATTGGTATAAAACTATACTACACATGTTTTATAAACATTAATATAGTTATTGGATGTCTCAATGTTAATTCAGAAAATATTTGTTTAAAATTATAAAATATTTGAAAAAAATAGTACTATTTGTGATGATAAATATTTATAATGTTAGAATAAATACATTACTTGACATGAAATGTTGAAGTGTATATCGTGGGATGTATAAACAAATAAAATATTCTCTGCCCATTTGGACATCTCATATAAACATTTGTAAAGAGATCGAAAATAACCGTAATTATTCTCACTTGCAAAGTCCTTTTAATGTTGAGGTATTTATACTACATTCAAAGCTAAGAGGTTCCTTTGGCTACCCACGCAGAAAAAATAACTTAAACTTTCCTCCTAAAAAAATTATCAGAAGGAGTATTAAAAAATAAAATTGTTTGTTCTGTCAAAAAAGGTTTAATCTGTTTAATTATTTTAATAAACTTCTTTTAAATACACCATCACACATGCCCAGAGACCAGTGGGGAGCTTAGAGCTTGTCCCGGCTGGGGCGGTGCCCCGCCGGTTGAAGGCTGGGGCAAAACCCACAAGTCGAGGGGTAGGTCCGAGCCGGATCTCACCATCCAACGAAGATCACAGCTACCTACTGCATTAAAACATGCACTACACTTACGGAGAGAAAGACCTCTGCGGTTGACGCGTCCGGAATCACTAGGAATCAATCGATCGATGAATGCAAATCGTGGCGGCACCGCCCTCACCTCCTCGTCAATTCATTGCGCAGCGGGCGCAGGCGTGTCCTAGCGGCTTAGAATATTTGAAATGCGCAACAGGAAGTAACAAAATATATTTTTCGTGAAAGTTTTCTCGAAACAAAATTTTGAGACAGATCAATTGGAGTCGTGTGGTCAGAATAATGAATGGTGGCTTCGAATACTCCCAGTTTTTATTTCTGAATCTAACGCCAATTTTTACTACTTTTTACTCCCTACTATTTTTACTAACGCCTACTTTTTATTATTATCTACCATAATTTTTCCGAATACTTGTAATGCCTCTTTCTTACATTCAGTTCTCCTCTTTCTCCACTTTGCCAGGATGCACCAGCTGTGCGCGGTCTCCCGCGGCAGGCCGCCACTGCCCTGAAACAGATGCACCACGAAACGATATGCGAGTCGGTGATTGTTACGAAGGTTGTGTGGATGATTCTATGTCAAAGAAAATATCTACCGCAAACACTCTATTTGCAAGCAATAGAACAGCTCTCGTTCAAAATACTCGTGTACAAAAACATCTAGTTCTATGAACAATCCTATTTCGAATGAAATCGATTCAAATCATCTCCCTCGATAATAAATATTACCAATCGCTCTTACTTCACAATTAACTTTTCAAAAAGCCAATCTAGACTTCTTTAGTTTACTTTTTGTAGGTAATGTTATAATATATTTACGAAATGAAGTAAAAAGGGCAATAAATGTAATATTATTTCAAAAAATAAAAACTTTTCAAATGTTACAATTTTTAAAACATCAATTTCAAATTCATGTTGAAAGTATAGCCTTCTTCTCGGGTAGAATGGCTATTATTTGCTCGTGGAAATTCCAAAACTCACTCCCTACGTCACTCCTGTCGTAAACATCAACTCGTGAATAGTAGCTATCATTATGCGCCGGTTGAAGAATAGACTACTTTTGTTTTGATTTACAGTATGTTGATGCCTTACGACACAAACAGCAAAGGGGGGGATTTTTCATAATAAGCAGCAACAACTAACTTAATTTTAGCTTAATTTAAATGTACAGTTTAAACATATGCACTTAAGTATTCCTAACTTGAAACAAAAAAAATTAATACTATGTATTGTACTTGTTTTTGGTATTTATTTTCATTCACGCATCATACACACTCTTCATATTTCTTTCATCATTCGTACTTGTTTCATGTCGCAAATACCGAAGCAGTGCGCTAACATAACCGCGCACGATTCTTTCTTCTTCTTCTTCTTCTTCTTCTTCTTCTTCTTCTTCTTCTTTGCCCATTACTCTCCCCTTACTTTCACACGCACTTGCATGCACTTAACCACTGCACAAGTCGGGAGGCCAGACGGGAGTTTAGAGCTTGTCCTGGCTGGGGTGGTCCCCGCCGGGAAAGATACCCGAGGGCAAGTACGCCAAAAAACAACGTGTTGGTCGGCGCCGGATCTCCACAACCAGTGAGAGAACAGCACTGCCACCTCCCAGGATAAAACATTCACGACACTAAGGAAACTAATCATTATAGCACCGCCACCGTGCATGGCAACACCATTGAATCCTTCTCCACCGCCTCCCGTCATCGCCATTGTATTCGTTACTGTCACCGTCACCGTCACCGCCGTCCTCCACTGAAGCTGCGCTCATGGCCGCTCCACTTTGGTCCCGGGACCAGCCACCTCCCGCGCCCCCGGCCTCGCCGCTTGTTCAGCCCCCGCTCGCGTCAGCCGCACCGCCGTGCGGCCTTTGTTTCTGTAATTGACTCGCGGGAACAATGAGGTCACATCTCAGCCGCCGCGGAGGGCTGCCGCGCCTCGCCGCTCCACGCACCGCC